AAATCAAGGGCATTTCTGTACATCTGTGACAAATCTTCTGAAAGAGAAACTAGGAAAACTACCCAATTTACAATGGCCTCAAAATTAAAATACCTGGGAATCAACTTAATGAAAGAGGTGAAAGATATCTACAATGAAAATTACAAAATGCTAAAGAAATTAAAGAAGACCTTAAAAGATGTGAAAGTCTCCCTTGTTCTTGGATAAGTAGAATTAATATTGTCAAAATGATCATACTACCAAAATCACTATCAGATTTAATGCAATTCCAATCAAAATTCCAATGACATTTTTCATAGAAATAGAAAAAGCAGTTATAAAATTCATCTGGAAAAATAAAAGATCCAGAATAGCTAAAGCAATCCTTAGGAAGAAGAATCAAGTACTATACCAGATCTCAAACTATACTGCAGAGCAATAGTAACAAAATCAGCATGATTATTGGCACCAAAACAGACTTGTAGACCAATGGTACAGAATAGTGGACACAAAGACAACCCCCATAATTATAGTTATCTCATATTAGACAAAGATGCCAAAAACATATAAAGGAAAAAAGATAGTGAGTCTCTTTCTCTCTCTTTTTTTTTTTTTTTGGTGGTGCTGAGGATTGAACCCAGGGCCTTGTGCATATGAGGCAAGCACTGTACCAACTGAGCTATGTCCCCAGCCCAAAAAGATAATCTCTTCAATAAATGGTTCTGGGAAAACTGGAAATCCATATGCAACAAAATGAAATTAAACCCCTATCTCTCAAAATTCAACCCCATGCACAAAACTCAACTCAATGTTGATCAATGACCTAGGAATTAAAACAGAGACCCTGTGCCTAATAGAAGAAAAAAGTAGGCCCAAATCTTCATCATGTTGGATTAGGCCCTGACTTCCTTAATAAGGAATAAAATCAAGAATCAATAAATGGCATAGATTCAAACTAAAAAGCTTCCTCTCAGCAAAAAAAACAATCAGTGAGGTTAACAGAGAGCCTACAGAATGGGAACAAATTTTTACCACAAGCACATCAGACATAGTACTAATCTCTAGGATATATAAAGAACTCAAAAATCTTAACACCAAAAAACCAAATAACCCATTCAATAACTGGGCAAAGAAACTGAACAGACACTTCTCTGAAGAAGATATACAATAAATCTACAAACATGAAAAAATGTTCAACATCTCTAGCAATTAGAGAAATACAAATCAAAACTACTCTAAGATTTCATCTCACTTCAGTCAGAATGGCAGCTATTAAAAATACAAACAAAAAACACAAAACAAACAAAAATAATACAAACAATAAGTGTTGGCGAGGATGTGGAGAAAAAGGCACACTCATACATTGCTAATGGGACTACAAATTGGTGCAGCCAATCTGGAAAGCAATATGGAGATTCCTTGGAAAACTTGGAATGGAACCTCCATTTGACCCAGCTATCCCACTCCTTGGTTTACTCTCAAAGGACTTAAAAGCAGCATATTACAAGGACACAGCTACATCAATGTTTAGAGCAGCACAATTCACAATAGCAAAATTGTGGAACCAACCTAGGTGCCCTTCAGTAGATGAATGGTTAAGAAACTGTGTTATGTACACACAATGGAATATTACTCAGTATTAAAAGAGAATAAAATCATGGCATTTGCAGGTAATAGATGGAATTGGAGAATATTATGCTAAGTGAAGTAAGCCAATCCTCCCCCAAAACAAATGCCAAATGTTTTCTCTGATACGAGGATGCTGATCCATAATGGAGATGGTAAGGGGGAATGCATGGGAGGAATGGAGGAACTTTAGATGGGGAAAAGTGGGGAAGGGATGGGAGGGGGCAGGGGATAGGAAAGATGGTGGAATGAGATGAACATCATTATCCTAAGTACATGTATGAAGATACCAATGGTGTGACTACTTTGTGTACAACCAGAGACATGAAAAATTGTGCACTATATGTGTAATATGAATTGAAATACATTCTGCAATCATTTATAATGAATTAGAATAAATAAAAAATAAACACATCTTTTTAAAGGCAGTAATTTTTACCTCGACACACAATGACTATTTATGAGGCACATTGAGATAATTCAATACACGTGTACAATGTGTAATTATCATATTTTATATCAAATTACAAATATGTAATTTGCATTTTCATCTCCTTAAAACATTTATCATTGCTTTGTTGTAAATACATATTTGGTCTTGTATGTTTTTACCCTTCATATAAGTAGTAGCACGTCGCATATCTTGTTTTGCAACTCCCTTTTAAAAAAAACTTAATGTCAGAGCAGTGATTCCAATGATTCGAATCAGGGTCTCTATCCAGCCACAGGAGCATGCCTGCGCTGGGAACCTTGGCAAAGGCGCGAGTTGAGACTGCCCAGTTGCTATGGTGATGCCCTGCTCAACAGCGGTTTTGTGCATGGCACAGGCACTATCACTCTTGACCCTGAGTTGAGACACCAGGTGCCCCAAGTTGATAATTATAACTTGGCTGCCCAGAACTTCGTCCTTCATCCTGCATGCTTTGAAGAAACTTTGACACAAAAAAACCCTTTGATGTTAAAACCTATATAATAAACATACTGAGCTAGTTCTGTGTCATTACTCTCTGTCAGAAAGTAATGCCCCACCCAGTCTCAACTTTCTATCTCTGTGTGTCTGTCTTTTCTAATGCCCCATCTCCCCTTTCCAATTTTTCTGAATTAACAGCCATGCAGGTTGTGGCACCTAATGTGTATGACAGATTCATTTATGAGGGTGGGTGTAGTCTCCCTTTGTTCACTTTCATCGTTGTTTAATATTTTTTCATATATCACAAGAATGAATAACAGAATAATAGTTGGCAAATGGGGGCTACTTCTCTTGGTGAAATACACAGTTAAACACTTAAAAAATGCAAAAACTTAACTACAGAGAAAATGTTTTCAGTTAAGAAGATCTAGTTTTCTCAAGGAAAACCTTTTAGGCTGCAAAAATTTCCACCCATATTTTAGGATCACCATGATTCAAGATAATTAACATAAGGTAACATATATGGACTTTCAAAGAATGCTAAATAAATCTCAACTAGTTATTTTATCTTCTTAGCAATCAACAGGGTATTGTCAATTAGCAATAGAGTGAAACTTGACTTATGGACTAATTCCAAAAAGCCTGTCTAACTTTTTGTGAGATACGACTCATAAGGTGATTGCTGCCTAGAAACCAACCTCTAAATTATCTCCCAAGTTTCAGAAATTCGTCCTAAAGCACCATCCAGTGCCATACTAGTAGGGTGCTCATATTGTGCTATAATTGGTTATTAACTGCTTAGTACCATGCTTCTCAAACTATACTCTCTGGGACTATAAAATTATCTAAAATTTCCAGAAGTTTTATGGGGAACTGAATTGTGTGTGGTAGAACATATAGATATACAGGTGCTGTACAGGAGTCTCCTGAAGAGAGCAGTGGACAAGGGAAGTGGATTCCCAGGGTGGTGACAGAGAGAGAGAGAGAGAGAGAGAGAGAGAGA